GCTTCCCTTTCTGTCCGGTCGCCTGCCCTCCGTCTCTCTCTTGCCTGGTATTTCCCCCTCTCCCTGTGCTCCTTTTTCTCTGTATGCCTCCCTGACAGTTTCTGTCTCCCCCCTTTTCGGTGTCTGTCCTCTGTCTTTCTAACCCCCTCACCCCTCCCGGTTCTGTGTTGTTTTGTCCTCCCCTGTGTCCCTACTTCCTCCTGCTTCTTCCCTGTTTCCCTCCCTCTGCCTCTCTCTTCCCCTCCACTCTGTTCCCCTGTCGTCTTGTTTTCCTCTCTGTCCCTCTCCCTTGTTCTGCCCCCCTGTTCTGTCTCTGCCCCTCTGTCTCTAGGTCCCTGTCTCTCACTTGCCTGGGGCTCTCTGTGCCTTCCCCCTGTCTGTCTGTCTCCCTTGTGTTTGTCTCCTTGTGCACTTCATTGTCTGTCTCTGTCCCTCCATCCCTGTGTCTCCGCGTCTCTTGTCCCTCTCTCTCTGACTGTCTTTCTGTCCTCATGGCTTCTGCTGCCTATGTTTTTTTTTTCCCCTCTCTCTCCTGTCACCTCTCCCTTAGTCTTGTGCTGCATCCTTCTTATTATTTAACTGCCTTTCCCTCCGCCGGCACGTCTCCCCTGGATGCTCTGTCTCCCCATGCCTCCGTCCCCATCTCTCTGAGTCCTTGTTGATGTCCCTGCATCGTGCCATCCGTGCCCTTGTGTCTGCATCTCTGTCTGTCTCCCTTTGTCTGGTGGTCTCTCTCTGCGTCCCGATCGTCGTGCCCATCTCCCTCTCTTTCTGTTGCTCGGCCTGCCTCTCTCTTGCTCTGTCTGTGTGTGTCTCCTCCCATTCCCATCTCCCGCCTCCCCCCCGCCCCTTCTCACTCTCGGTCCCCCATCTCCCCTTGCGCAGCCTCTCTTGCGTTCTCTTTCCTCCTTGCTGGGTCTCGCTTTCTTCTTCTGGCGCCCTCTCTCCCCCCTGGCTGGTCTTTGTCTGTCCTCCTTTTTCTCTGTCTGTGTGTCTCTGGCGGTGACCCACGCTCGTGTCCATGCATCTCCCTCCCTCCCTCCCTCCCTGTGTCCTTTTTTCCCCTGTTTCCTTTTCTCTGTCTCTCTCTGTGCCCCCCTCTGACCTTCCCCCCATCTCCCTGCCTCCCAGTCCTTTCCTCTGGTGCTCTCCCTTGTTGTGTCCGCTGCTGCATCTGTGTCTGGCGGTTGTCTCGGTCTCCCTGTGTCTTCCCTGCTCTCCATCTTCCACGCTGTATGTCTCCTCCTCTCTCGCTCTCTCAGATGTGTCCTTTGGAGTGTATGCCTCTTGTGGTTTGTCTCACTCTCTCTCTGTTTGTCAATTCTGGTTTTACTACCCCCCTCCCTCTGAGGTCTTGTCATGTCTCTGAGAGGTCTCCTTCTCTCTGTGTCTGCCCAGGTCCCTCATACACACCTCTGCATGTAGGCACCCCTCTCTCGGCCTCCCTCTCCCCTGTGCATGTGTCTCCCTGTCCCCTGCTCTCTTCCTAGCTGTGCTTGTGGGTCTGTCTCTTTCCCTGCCCCTTTCTGTCTGTTGTGTGCGGCCCTCTCCCTCAGCCTCCTCCTCCTCCCTCCCCTCTTAATCCCCTCCTCCTTCTCTCTCTTTGTCTCCCTCTCCCCCTGTCGCCGCCTCCATTGCTCCTGCTGCATTGCTCTCTGTAGAGTCACCCTTCCCGTGTCTCCTTCTCCCTTGCTGCCTGTCCTCCTTTCTCTGTCTCTTCTGCGGCTCGCTCTTTGGCTCTCTGCCTCATGGTCTCCTTTTTCCTCTCTCTATGCATGCCTGCCTTGTTCTGCGTGACTCCCTGTGTCTCCCTTTCTGTCTTTCTGCCTCCCGCCATCTCTCCCTGCATATTTTTCCTTTCCTCTGGCCGTGTCAGTCTTCGTAGCTCTCCATCTGTCTCTCTGTGAGCGTCTCTTGCTCTGTTGGTCTCTGTTGGGATCGTCCACAAGTCCCCATGTCCCCCCGCCTTTCTGTCTCCCCGGGTCTCTGTCCCCATCTCTCGGAGTCTTTCTCTGCTTCCTTGCATCATGCCGTCCACCCCCTTTTCTCAGGCTGTCTCCCCGGGTCTCTGTCCCCATCTCTTGGAGTCTTTCTCTGCTTCCTTGCGTCATGCCGTCCACCCCCTTTTCTCAGTGTCTCCTGCGCCCCCCCCGCCTTTAAGTCTCGCTCAGTCTCCTCGTCTATGGGCACGTATCCCTCCTGGTTCTGTGGGTCTGTCCGCCCCCCTTCCCATGGCGCTCTGTTTCTCCGGCCCCCGGTCACCCATCTCGCCGCACTGCCATCCTTCTGCCTGTGTCTTTCTTCCTCTCCACCACCCTCTGGCACAGTCTCTCTCCTTTCCCTCTGCCTCTTTGGGGGCTCCAACTGTGGGTCTCCCTCTTTCTGTGTCCGCCTCCCTCCCTCTCTTTCTGCCCATTTCCCTGTATGCCTGTTTTCCTGTCTCTCCTGTGATGCCTGTCTGTTGGTCATCCTTTGACTGTCTCTGGCCAGCTATGGCTCTGCCTGTGTCTGTGCATCTCCCTCTCTCCCTTTCTGTCTGTCTTCCCTTCCAGCACTCCAATGGTCCCCCTTACCCCCCCGTCTCTCTGACCCCATGTGGTTCTGTGTCTCCCTGTCTCTCTCCCTATCCCTCTCTCCCTGTCTGTCTCTTTCTCTCCCCTTTTGGTTTGTCCCCTCTTTCTTTCCAACCTCCCCATTTCCCAGTCTGTGCGTCCTCCCCTCTGCCCCCAAGTCTCCATTTTGCGTCCACATGCATCTTCCCTGCTCACTGGCTCCCCCTCTCTTACCCCCCTGCTCCCGGGCTGGTGTCTTTTTCTAGGCCGCCTGCTGGCCCTGTCTCTGGCCCATCTCTGACTGTGTCTGCTGCCTTTTGTGTAGCTCTGCTCCTCTCTGTCTCTGTTGCTCATCTCCCTTCTGCGTGTCCTTCTTTTTTTATGGCCCCCAGGTCCTCCTTGGTGTCCTTCCTGGTGTTTCTCTGCGGTGCTGTCTTTCGTTGTAGTTGCTGTGGTCTCGGTGTCTAAATCTCTCCCTGTCCTGGTCTTTCTGCCCCCATCTCGCCCTCTCTCTGTCTCGACGTCTCCCTCTCTTTGTGTCTGTGCCTCTCTTCCTTCATCTCTCCCTCTCTTGGTGTCTCTCTGCCTATCATCTCCTCTGTCTCTCTTGCTTTCTCTGCTTCTCTGTGCTCCTCCCTCTCTGAGGCTCTCTGACCCTCTCCCTGCCTGTGTCTTTCTGACCGGCTCTCTCTGCGGTGCGGTTGCCCTGCGTCCTTCTTCCTCCACCTCTCTCCATGTCTTGCTGTCTGTGCATTTCTCCCCCACTCTGTCTCTTGTGGTCTCTCTCCCCTCCTCTGTGTCCCTCTCTCTTTTTGTCCCTCTGGGTGTCCCTCCCTGGTGGTCTCTGTCGCTCTTGCCCATTCCTCTCCCCCTCTCTGTGTCTCTGCCCTCCCCATCTCCGCTCCCCTCTGAGTGTGCCCCTGTGTGTCCTTCTCTCTCACTCTCCCCAGTTCTCTCTCTGTGTGTCTCGTTCTGTCTCTCTGCCCCCCTTTCTCTCTCTGACTGCCTCTCTCTCTCTCTGTGTCTGCCTATCTGCATCTCTCCCACTGTTGCTCCCTCCGCCTCTCCCCTCCCCGCCCTGTTCCTCTCTGTTGCGCTCTCTGGCCCTCCTCTGTGCTTTTGTCTCTCTCTCTCCCCCCATCTCTGTGTGTGTCTGTCTCTCTCTGCGTGTCTCTCTTTGTATCTTCCCCTTCCTCCCTCCTCCCCGTCCTCTCTCTTTGCGCGTAGTTCTCTTAGGCTGAGGGAGGCACAGAACCACTCTCCCCATCTCCACGCGTCTCAGTCCCTCGCTGCGTGTCTCTCTCTCCCTTGCGGTGTCCCTCTCCCCCTCCCATGTGCATGTGTCTCTTCCCCCTTTCTGTGCCCTGCAAACTCTCTCTGCTTTGTGCCTTGCTCCTCCTGGTGTCTCTCCCTTCCCCATCTCCCCTCTCTGTGCCTCTCTTCCCTGCTGTGTGTCTCTCCTCTCTTGGGCTCTGTTTCTTGGGGTCAGGCTCTCCCCTCTGTGCCTCTTTCTGTCCCTCAGTGCCCCCCCAGTGTCTTTTTTCCCCCGGGAGATCTCATTGTCTTGTGCCTGTTGGTGCGCAGGCCCTTCCTTCTGTCTTGCGATGTCTCCCTTTCTGTGTGTGGGTGTCGGTGTTCTGTGTGCCCTCTCTCTTCTCACCAGATGATAGGTGTCCTCCTCTGGCCATTTCTAGTGGTTGTATGGGGTTCCCGCTCTGGGGGCTGCCGGCCATCTCGGTCTGTGTTCCCAGTGGGCTGTGTTCAGCGCTCTGACTGTCCGGCTATCTCTCTGTCTTTCAGCTGCCTCGGCCGCCGTGTCTTCCTGTGCCTGCTGGTCTTGGGGTGTTGCCGTGTCTCTCTCCTACGTCCATTCCGGCAGCTGGCCAGATCAGATCACCTCATGTCCCAGCGTGTCTTGTTGCATCTCAGGTTGTTGCCACGTCTAGGTGTGCCTCCCACTTGTTTGCCTGTCTCTTGAGCCGAGCGTGTGGCTCTCGGGCCATGGCCCAGGGTTATTGGTCCCCTGGGCCCTGCCGAAGGTGGCCCTGCTCCACTGGAGCTCACTCTTACCTTGGGATGGCTTCTCCTGCAGTTGCGGGGGGGGCCCAGGCAGCCGCCATGGCCCAGCAGGGCTGCCCGTGCTGGGGCAGAGTTGGGGGCCCTGCTCCTTGCCCTGCAAAGTGCCATCCCGGAGAGTGCTGTCCCTGTTTGCTCTGCCCCCATTCGCATCGCTGGACAGAACCGCCCCCCCAGAGAGAGGGGGGTCCAGGCTCCCTCGGGGCAAAAGAGCACCTCCTACCCATCACCTGACAGATACAATGCGAGCCAGACTGTGCCCCGACATCCTCCCAGCAGCCGCTGCCGCAGAGTCCTGCCGCACTTGACAACTGCACGACAGAGTGAGCACCGTGAGGAGACGCCAAGAAACGGGCCCAGGGGAATGGACGCCTAGAGGCTGACACGGACTAAGGGACCACAACCACAAGATTAGAAGAGAGACCGGAGCACCGACACAAGGCCACAGACAACTAAACCAAGAATGACTAACAAGGGACGAGAGCAGGGCACACACAACAGCAGAGGAACAGAGGAGACGTAGATGAGCAGGGCGGACGAGAGTGAGAGAAGACACGACAGAAGGACCAAGAGCCTCATCATCATGCAGAAGACATGCACAGACACACCACAAGACAGACACACTGCTAGAAAGAGGTGGCACCTGATGTGCACAAAGCGAGAGGTGCCGAGATCCATGGCAATACATTGACAGACAAACAGAAAGAGGGACAACTGGACACACTGTGGTGAGGGGCAGCATGGCTGAAGACGCGGAGCCCTACACGGATTCCATCCCAAGACACCATCTGCAACTGGGACAAGGACCCAGAGGGACAGAGGAGAGACACAACTACTGCAGGAGACACAGAAGGGCAAGGAGGCACCCAGAGACACGGGCAACAACAGAGTGAGCCACAGAAGCCAACAGGGAGACGCCCCGAGACTCCACGCCATAGTTGCGCTCACCCACTGGTCTGGCCGACAGCACTGGGCGCAGACACACACAGATTGTGGCCATGCACCAAGCCACAATCCAATGCTCTGACGCAAGCAGTCCAAAGAACCCATGCCAACCCCAAGACGGCCACATCAACACACCCAAAGCCACACACATGGCCAGCCGCTTGACACCTGAGGCCACCGTGCCCAGACACGCTGACGGGCACCTATGCCAGTACGCCCTCCCCCAACACGCCGATGCCACGGCACAGGCGCTCTCGCATCTACACGGGAGACAGGGGTGCTCGCACAGAGAGCAACGTGTGCATGCCAAAACCAGAGAGAGCGCAAGCACACGAGAGCGCCAGCGGGACAGGGAAACAGAAAAGGAGAAGCTGGCAGACACAGGGAAGCGGACACGCACCGCAACAAAACAGCAGCGGGACCTCTCTCCCCATGGGCCGCACGGGAAGCTGCCCTTCCCTGCACCAAAGACGGGCTCCCGCACGCACGCTGAGGGCCCCCTGGCTGCAGCCCCTACACCAAGCAAAGACAGCCCCCCCCCAATGTAGGTCAACCCCTGTGTGCTGACACACTACTGTTTGTTTACTGAAATAAAGTTGTTTTCCTGACGTAAGTTATCTTCCTCCAGCACAGCTCCTGCAACAGTACCCTTCCTTCCAGTTAGCGACACGCACCCACCCCCCATTGACAACACAGGGCGACACGAGCGGCGAGGGAAAGACAGGAAGGGGGGAGGATTGGGCTTTGGATTCGACCCCCCAGCTACAAGGCCATAGCACACACCAGACCGGGACAAAAGAAAACCCACGCCAGACCACAAGAGATTACAGTGGACCAAACCACAATGGAACCCAATAGACCCGACTAGGACGGACTAACCCGGTGCCGACAACCATACAACAGGTTAAAACACAATCGACCGGGATACGATAGACCAGCCATTATCAGATTTCACCTGATTTATTAGAACACAAGACGACAGACCAGAACAGAGGAGAGGGAAACAGAACCCAACAGCCTAGACCCAAAAAGAAGAGACCGAGCCAGGGGAGAGGAGAACTGATTAGAATAGAACAGACCTGACCGGACCAGCCCCTAACAAAACAACATAGACTACAACAGACCAGACCCAAACACAACCGTACAGAATAGACCAGAGCAGAAAAACATACATAGACCCAAGCGGGACGGACTTGACCGGAATGGAACAGAGCAGGGCGGGCCGGTACAGAATAGAATACACCAGGACACAACATATTAGAGTACAGCAAAATAGACCTGCACCTAACAGGATAGAACAGAACAGGACAGACCACAACAAAACAGACCATGACAGCCCAGAATAGCGGCGAGTAGAACACGCTAGAACACACCACGATGCAACACAACAGACTGCAGGAGAATAGAATGCAGTAGACCAGACTAGACCGGAGCGGACCAGGCCGAGACGGAACAGAATAGAGTGGCATGATAGAATGCAACAGATTAGCCACAGGGAGAGCAGAATAGAACAGACCTGAGCAGACCAGACCCAAACACAAGAAAGCACAACAGTACACATGAGACTGGCACAGAACAGAACAGAGCAGAACTGCCCAGAACAGAACACAGGATTGTTGTTACAACACAGAACAGACCTGAGCCCATTAGACCCACACAGAGCAGAGCGGAGCAGGACAGACCAACCATCTGATTGGCACAAACTAGACCAAACCCCAGCTTGAGCAGCCCAGAGGAGAACAGAGCAGAGCCGAACAGAACACTTTAGAACAAAATAGAACAGACCTGAGCAGACCAAAACACACTGGAACGCATTCAACCCCAACAGAACAGGACTGACCAGAACAGATCCCACCAGAGCAGAACAGAACAGACCGCTACAAACTACAGATGAAGAGAGCAGAACCAAACACATGAGAACAGAACAGAACACATAATAACCTAGATCAGGAAAGAACAAATGGGGGGGAAAACACCAGGACCAGGGCACACCAGAATACATTAGTTCCTGTGGAAGGGACCTACACCCATCATCACTTGTGGCTGACTGAGCCCTTCAGGCCTGACCTGACCATCAAAGCATGGCACTAAGGGCGATGCCCCCTCGATGCCGACAGGCACGGGACATCAGCCACCCCTCCGGGAAGCCCGCTCTGCTGTAAGACTGCCCTCTCAGGAAAGGCACGGTTCCTACCATCTCATCGGAACCTCCCCTGACATGGCACGGCTCTGCTCCTGCGCTTCCTGGCACCATGCACCAGCGAGGCCTGATTGTCGCCTCCCCCTCTGCTTCCCTGCCTCGGTAAGCTCCTCCACCCCTCTGCCCCCCTTTTTCCATGCTAGGCAAACCTGGTGCCCTCCGCCCCTCCTCACGGCGCCTGCCCTCTCGCTGGCTTTGGTGCCCTCCTCGGGACACCTTTCCACACCTTAACATCCTTCTGAGAAGGAGAGGCCCAGAACAGCACACAATACATGAAGCAAGGCCATGCCAACACTACCCATGCCGGTGACCGGCACCCTTTCCGTGGGGCCGCTCTCCTCTCCCAGTCTACACTCACCTCTGGTGCTACTCCGTCCCGGGTGCAGACCCCTGCATTGGGTCCTGTTCAATTTCACACCTCTCGTGACTGCCCATGCCTCCCATCTCTCTAGATTCCTCTCTGAGGCCTCCCATCCCTCAAGATGGGCAACAGCACCATCCAGTTTAGTATCATCATCATCATCATCACACTTGGCAAGAAGGGTGCGTTCCCCTCCTGCATCCGGATCATTGATAAACACTTTGAACAGACCCAGCCCGAGAACAGGAGCCCTGAGCAACGATGCCAGCGGCCCCGCCGTTCAGCCAGCCCTTCGCCTGGCACACACCTGCCCACCTCGCAGTTGGACGTTTTTTCCGGAAGGATGCTCGATGATGCCCCGCAACCAAAGCCATGCACCTCACGCCACCCCAAATCACCAAGCACTCTCCAGGGCGTGACACGGCCCACGAGACTGCACCTCCTGGAAGGCTGAGGGGCGTGCCTCGGCGCCACAATGCCCTCAAGTGGCACCCCAGGCACCCACCTTGTCTGCCGCTTCCCTACCGCCGCCACACGCTATGGTCCCAGACAGCCGGGGGACAGGGGTAGCTCCTGTCTCATCCAAGACATGGGCCCCCCACCATGGTGCGACGCTTTGCCCCAGCTGTCCACCCTCATGCTGCCAAAGTCCATGCCAGCATGGATGCTCTGCTCGCTCTCCATGCCTCCTGAAGCCTGCCACCCGACCCTATCCTCTCCCTTGTGCTGGAGCCCTGCCGGGGGAAGGCTGGCTCCTGCTGGCCACCCTTGGCCCGTGACAGCCCCCTCAGCTTGCCAAAATGCCACAGGGACGTGCCATAGTTACACATCGCCTTCCTCAATGACAGCTGTCCAGTCCACCTTCCCACCCTCACCGCCTAGATCGCCCAGGCACCACAGGCGCTGGATGTAAACCGCCCCACTGCGGCCCTCGATGCCTATGCCACCTGCCCTGCCGCTGCCAGTACAACACAACAACTGCCAGTACAAGAACCGGGAAAAACCCCACACCGTGCACCCGAAGCGCATGCTCACCTGGGCCGGGCCCCCTCCTTGGCCCTGTGCTCCAGCGACGCCCGTGGCTCAGCCAGGAGCCTCTTCTCTGCCCATGGGCCCAATGCCGCAAAGACAAACAGCTGCCCACCGGCCGACTCTGCTGCGCGCCCCTAAACACCCGTGAGCCCCGTGCCCGCCACCGACCGCCGCCCAGCTGTGCATGCCCGCTTGGGCTGATGGGGATCTCATCATCTGATGCATCCTCTCCGCGGGACCTCGCTGCTCCAATCTCAGCACCTCGACGGGCCGGCAACATTAAAGACGTCCAGCTCTGCTCTGCCACTCCGTCGATCCATCGCTGGCCAGCCGCCCGCCCTGCCACCTCCTCCTCTTCAATGTCCTCCTCCTCCTTGCTGTACCTTGCTGCAAAAAAACAGGGCACCTACCGTACAGGATGATGCTGGCGTTGGTGTTGCCCAGCTTGTTCGTGGCCACGCACGTGTAGTTGCCGTAGTCCTTCTCCGAGACATTGAAGAAGGTCAGTGTTGACAGGCGGCCCTTGCTCTCGATCCGCACGCCCTCCAGCCCGTTCGCTAACCTGTGGGGAAATGTGGATGATGGCGCTCAGAGCGCTGTGCCAGCGCTGTACGACATATCCTGCCCCCTCCCCGGGCACCCTCTCCCTTCCCACCAGCCAACATCACTATACACCCACATGTTCCCCCACCGGACTCCCTGCATCCCACGGAGACAAGCCCTTCACCCCACCACGCTGTTCCCCCACCGGACTCCCTGCATCCCACCGAGACAAGCCCTTCGCCCCACCACCACGTTGCCCAAAAGCATGCCACGCTCGCCATCCTGAAACCTATCTGCCAGCATGACCCACATGGCCCGTGTTACTCCTCCATGAGCCACAGCCACCGTCCCCGGGAGGAACGACCCTGGGCCCCCCTTGGCCCTTACCTGAGCGCTCCGACCCTCCGACGTGGGCAGACGCCAGCCTTCCTCCACGCAAGGCCCTCGGCCACCTCCAGCCCCCTCCACTTCCCTGCCTTGCCGCCATCCGGCCCCCAGGGCTGGCACGGTGCCCCTGCCCCACCACGCAGCTCCCCAGGCTCCCCCTCCGCGGCCTCTCACCTGGTGTCCTCCTTGAACCACTGAAACTCTGCCACGGGGACAGCCGAGGCCTCGCACTGCAGGATGCCCTTCTGGCCCACCGAGGCACCCGTGTTCTTGGCGTTTGAGATGTACGGTGGATCTGCGGAGACACCGTGCAGCGTCACGCCAGGCTCCGTGTGTGCCCGCCCCGCCACGATTCCCCCAGCCCTTGCACTCACAGTTGACGGTGACTTTGACTTTCCGCACGTCCGGGACAGCCACGTCGTTGACAGCACTGCACTCATACTCCCCGGACTGCTCCCGTGTGATGCCCGTGATCTCCAGGTACTCGTCCTCGCTCACAAAGCCCTGTCCTGGGAGACGTCCCGAATGCGTGGCACCATCACCCTTCACCCAGGAAACTTGGAACATCACTTAACAAGCATCCTCACCCTCATACCAGAACACACCAAAGGGCCAGCACCTCCACCCTCCACAACAGATACCAGCAAACCATGGACAACCTTCCTGCCACCCCAGCCACCTCTACAGGGACAACTGTCCGTCCCACATGGGCTGGGCGAGACCCCTCCTCGGACCCGGGTGGCTCGTCCACCGAGTCCTGAGCATGGTCTCACCTTTCCCGGAGAGGTGCCGCCACGTGACAGTGGGCTCTGGTCTCCCGAAGGCCAGGCACATGAGGGTCACGCTGCTGCCCTCGTTCACGGTGATGTCTGATGAGATGTTGACAATCTGGGGGGGAACTGCAAGACACAAAGAAGAGCGGAGGCACCGTCAATACGTCAGCTCACCAGGCCCCAACAGCACACTGCCTGCATGCCGCTGGGAAGCCCCGGCTGCGAGACCTGCCCCGGCGCCGGACATCAGCATCTGCCCCGTCGCCCTGTTCGGTCATCAACCCCTTGTCTCCAAACCAGCATCTCAGACCGGAGCCGAGCATGGCCCCGGGGTCTGCGCCAGGCAGGGGCCGGAACCCCCGATAACTGGCTCTCATTACAGCCCGCGACAAGGCTTATATTTTAGCATATTTATTAAAGCTGTTTAAATTACTGAGCGTCTGCTCCATTCAATACCGGCCACAGTGATTTATATTACTCTATCCCCAGATACTCCATCTAATAAATAACTTGGCAATCTCCACACCCATAAATATCCCCGGCCCTGGCAAAAAGCAATTAAAGCCCACTCGCCAACATCGCCTCCAGGCCCCGGGGCTGGCAGACGTGGCCCCTGAAAGGGTCTGCGCCCTGGGGAGCAAACGAGCCCATACAAAACAACCCTCCCAAAACTACCCCCCCCCCAATGCCAAAAAGGGTGCCCCATGCCCCCCCCCCCCCGAGCACATAACATGCTGAGAGCCCCAGTTCACATGGTGTCGCACGTGAAATGCCGAGGGCTCTCCTGCAGCGCTGGGATGCCAGTATGATCGCCTGAAAACCACTGCAGCCCTGCCTGGAAGGGGACGTGAGGGCTGCCGGGCTCCCCTCTCCTCCCCCTGCCCTGCTGGGGCTGCTGCGTCATTGTCCGGACTGGGTAAGGACAGACAGATGCCCGGCGGCGTGCCAGAGGGGCCACGGTGACATCCCCTGAGGAGCTCGGTCTAAGCTGCCTATAACCACCAGGCTCTGCACCTCACTGGGGCTCAAAAAAACCCCACCCCAAAAGCGAGCCTTTTGCTCCTAGGCAGCCTCCTGGGTGGCTGGGCGGAGGACAGGCTTTCCCGCACCCGCTCTCCCAACCACCTCTTTCCCTGGCGCGAAAGGGGGCGGTGCAACGGGACGAGCCGTGGCAAAGACGCGGCGCGGTCTCCGCGGCCCGATAGGCCCTGCAAGGCAGTAAATTTCCCAGCAACTTGACACATTAATATAGAAGTACAGTCTGTTATAGCAAAGGGAGATTGTCTGAGTCCTTCAGGGGAAAGCGGCAATCTGAAAATGAAAAGTGTGCGCCGGCGACTGCTGGAAAATGTAGTTAACGCTTGGAGCGGAGCTGGCCAGCTCCAACGGCGCCGCCCCGACAAGCTCCGCTGTGGGAGGGCTGCCGACAGCCCTTCCTTGCTTAGACAAGGAGATGACCTTATTCCCTATTACCAGCAGCCTTGTACCTCTCCACCTCCAACAGCTACCAGAAAAATCTAAAAAAAAACCCAACAGCATCCAAGACGTTGTGCAGACATTATCTGCTTCTCACAGCCTTACTAGATATATGTGCTCCCGGTACAGACTAATGCTTGCAGGCAAGCACGCTGCCAGGGGAAGGCGGGCACCTCCAGGGCACCTAACACCAACTCCAAACACTCGGGGGCCGCTCGCTCGAGAGGCCCTGCACGCTCGGGGCTCCTCTCCCTCCCTGTGGCACCTCACCGGGGCGAGGGCGCCAAAAGGGGCTCCTTGCAGAGCTGGGACTGCGCCGTCAACCCCACGTGCCTGCCTTCGCCCCGGACCGGACTGGCACCTCGGCTGCCGGGGGCTTCCCTGAGCAGGCGCTGGGGCATTCGGCTCTGCACGCCAACAAAGAGCTAAAACTAAATAAAAAGAGAACAACCTATGTCCAAGGAAGCCGAGGCAATCCGCATCTCCCTGCGGATATTTAATCTGCTGCACAGGAGGCAAAATTAGCTCCGCACACCTTTCCTTGCACACTACCCGCTCTGCTTGTGTATTTCTTGCATCTTCCCATCCCACCTCCTGCACGCAGCCCTGCTGAGGTCAGACCATGGACAGAGCCACACGAATACACGCATCAACCCTAAAGCAAAGGATGCCGACGCAGCAGGCAGACATGCCGGCAGGTCACCCACAGGAGAACGGCACCTCTTGAACTCCCCAGCCACGGCCCCGAAGCCGCAGGGGCCAGGGAAGCGCCGCTGCGTTGCCATGCTGTGCCACTGCCCACCCTAATCTGATCAGAAATGCCCCCGAGAGCCAGCAGGGACATGTGGTGGGGGCATATGCGGCAGAGGGATTTCCGTGGAGAGCACAGGGACCCCGCCAGATGGCTCGATACCCTGCTGCGACGGCAATCATTGTCTACGAGGTTACCGGGACCTGGAGAAGAACATCTAAGGACCTTGATTACATTTCTATAGATCCCACCGACCGGGCTGTCGAGGACAGTGTCTCAAGGGCATGCCGGCTTCACCTTGTGGGGACTTACTTAATCCGCAGAGGAGTGGGCAGGAGCTGGGCCCACGCGGGGACGCGGCCAGCAGCAGACGGGACCCGAGCGCCGGCAGGCAGGATGAGTCCGGTGGCAAACATGACCGTGTTGATAAAACCAACCTGCGACCATGGTAAGTAACGTGAGGTGGGTATGGCCAAGGCACGGCTGCCCCTGACAAGCACGTCCCACCAGAGCTGCCATGTCTCAGGATGGGGACTGCTTGGGATTGGTGCTGGGCACAGAGTCCAAAAGGCTCTCCCATCTCCCCACAGAGCCCTCCCAGCCCCCGAAGGGCCGGGTCAGATAGCCCTGCTAATACCTCACGGCCCACCTGCATGACTATGGATGCTGTCATTTCCCTGTTGATGGCATCCTTTCCCTGGATTACCTTTGGTTCTTAACATTTACCTCCCCCTGCCCTACATCCCCTACACAGCAAACATCCAGTAGTTATGACAGCCTCTCCTCACTACACATACAAGATAAGAAATGATCGCCGCGTGAACATACTAACAGCCAGAGAAGCAGCGAGAGCGGGGCTGTAGTTCTGTCGGGGAGACGGAGCACCGCTGCCCGCTCTGCCTTTCACCAGGTTAACGCTTCCTCGTGCGCATACTATAAATTATAACAGCTTGCTCCTCCGAGCAGCTCCCGTTAGCCCACACGCACGTCACTACAGGCCTGATCATACAATAGCTAAGGAAAAAGACTGAGACACTCCTCAATTGCTCGAGGGCAATAAAGCCATAACGGGCAGAGGCCCCCCACATGCAGTATGCCTGCTCAAATTAAGCAGCCCTCAGCTGCCATCGGGATGGGACGTGGATTCCCAGGGTGCTGCCGGCGTTGCACTGTGGACAGACATGGCCATCGCCCCCTCCAGAGGTCCTCCCCGGCCCCAAGACTGCTCACAGGATGGGGGCGAGATGCTTGTCTTCCGGAGCTGCGGGGGGGCAAAGCGATACGGTGGTGCATGGTCCCTCTCCCCCCTTATTCATAGTCCTGCCTTCCTTGTAAAAGACTACAACTACAAGCAAATTGAATACGGAATAAATCCCAAGGAAGCGAGGAGCGGTGCGTTGTCGGGCGGTCTCGCCGGAGTGGTGAGCGGCCTGTGGAGGATTTCATCGACCCTACATAATATTAATCACGGGTAAGTTAATGCATAATGTTTGGTAGGCCAAAAAAATACATTTGCACTGTAATTTCTTGTTTGTTCAGAAAGCCAGCGAGAGAAATCGAATGTGAAAGCGATGCCACTAAATTCAATAACAATAAGCCCATGATTTATCTCCTTCCTTTACCGCTTGAGACCCAAACTGCCCGAGGTGCAGATTCACGCTCTCCGTCGGGCCCAGGCGCATGCCGGTTTCTGCCACTGCTCGCGGGGACCACGAGACACCGTGCCTCCCCTCCGTCCCAAACTGGGGGCTCCAAATAGCCCTATGGGGTTGGCCATGGCATCATGCCTTGGTGACGCTGCCCTGTCCCGTGATGCTACGTGCTGTACTTTGGATATCCCTCGCAAGCACAGCCAAGCAATCCCTGGGACTCTCCCAAACACCTCCTCTGGGCACCGGTGCCGGCCTCACCCACGCTGCTGCTCCGCAGCCAGCCAGTCTGGGGACAAAAGACACTGGAGAGGTCAGATCGTGCGAGCCGCTACCAGACACCCAAGTGCAAGGAGGGATGGACGCTGCCTTGCCCGGGGAGGCATGGGTCCTGCCCATGCCGGCAAGGACGCCTCTTCCCTGCTAAACAGTGCGGGAAGAAACAGCACTGTGTGATCACTGACTACACGTGATGCTGACACACACGACCGCGTGCAGGCTGACTCATCTCCCGGCTGCTCCTTAGCACCGATCCCTACCGGAGGCGCTCGCCGTCGCGGCCCCAGACTATTTTTAGCTGCCAGATCATTACTGCTGCACGCCTTGGAGCGGAGAGCCTGCGCGAGCACCATGGCTCCCACAGGCAACTGATGTCCCTCCTCCACATCGTTAGCTCCTAATCCATTAAAAGAGACCTCTTCCTACACCTTTGATAAAGTGAGATGATAGATGGATACCTATGGGCTCTTCAAACCGCCGGACGACAGCCACTTGCCCACCTCTACTTGCAGGATGGGTCCCTGTAGGGACAGCCGCAGAGGGGGACATCTCATCTTCAGCATTCTGTGGGGAGACAATAGCCTCCACGGGCACTGTCCCACCTATGGTGGCACCTCACCACCTCCTCTCAGACACCTCCTATTTTGGGGAGATGCAGCGTTCACGCTGCTCCTTCACCTCTCCAGCTGCAGCAGGGGCCCGTGCCCTCCCGGGAGCGGGACCGCCGCCCTAGCAGGGGTCAGACACCTGCTGGAGCTCACGCTGCCTCCCTCCCCGGCACCCCCGGCTGCCTATAGCCCCACACGCCTCCGGCTCTGCATGAGCCATAGGCAGGATGGAGCTGTCAGAGGTGTCACCGCACAAGGACTCATTAGCGTACGGAAAGTCAGCACAAGGAAGGCAAATATGCTGAAAGCTCACATTTTGCCTGTGCTTTCCATCTCCTTTGCAGATGAGAAGCGCGGCAGGAC